AAGATAATTTCATTGTGTACATATCTTCTTAACGAAGTCATATGTCCTATTTCACTTGATCCCGAACATAGCAGATTCTCATCATTTTAGGGAATATCTCACCAGGAAAAATCTCACCGTAGAATGACATCTTTCTATTGTTTTGATTTTACGTTGTTCTTTCTATCAATAATACAAGCACTTGTACGATCACTTCTCTACTTTGAACTCTCTCCATTATCTTCGATGAGTCTAACTCACAATGATACTACCGACCTGAATGCAGATTCCATTTGAAGAAAATCTCGTGCCGGTATCCTTTACGTTTTGATTAAGAATTTAAACTTCCCCCTCGCTTTAAGTAGTAGTACCAAGGGTAACAAGTAATCCCGTAAGGAACTGAATATTTGTGATTCACCTTAGTGCTTTATGAATATTGATTCTGGTAAGTAACAACATGTGCCTTATGCACGTTACGTGTATGTACAATCCATAAAATAGCATACTAAAACGCGTCGGAAGAGATTATCAACCTTTGTACTGTTCTAATTATTACACCGCGTGATGTTTTATTCAAACCCTGATACATGCGAGACAATTTCGCGGTAACTACCACGATTGTTCGAAGGAGTATCTTATGTATATCTTATAACAATTCGACAATTACTCGTAATAGTATTGCAGTTCATAGCAATGCAGGTCCCACTTTGCTGCTTCATCACATTCGTAAAGTAGTTCGTACAAGACGGACACGACCGTAAAAGATTATGTTAAGAAATTTAACGCTAGAGAAGGCTATTAACATTATTCGGCTGAGTGTGGCTCTGACATTTTGTTGGCCGCTGCGTTCGAGCAATAGCAAAACTGTGATATTTGGTTACAGAGTAATGCAAATTTGTGCAGCTATTAACATGTCCTTGTTACTTCTGCCTACATTATACACGGTGTATTTGCGATCGGACGTAGAAATTGTTTTTCACTCTATTACCCAGGCAATATTCGAAGTTCAATCTATCGTACAAACTATTATATGTTTCAGCAAGTACGACACTTTACAAGTAGGTTTCCACTCACTTTTTCTCGTTACTTTACGTAGAAAATTTTCAATGCTTTAAGAATAGATTGCAGCGTATAATAGAGGAGCTGT